ACAATATTTTCTAATTAGATACATTACATTCCTCAAATACGAAGAACTGCGAACTTACAAAAAACCATTAGTTAAACATTTGAACAATAAAATATAAGCAAATATAATATGATGAGGAATTAATTATTTTTCTGTTTTTAAATAATAAGAAATTTATTATATAATTGCATTTTGAATTATTAGAAGCTGAAATCATGGTATGGGTTTATTATTAGAACAATAATGTAGGTTTTTGAATAATAGAATAATAGAATTGCGTCCTTAAATTAGTTTCCAAATTATTAACGATTATAGATCTTGATCCACCAATAGTTGCGTGCATAAGTCGATTCCAGAGCAGGGTGGACCTATCACAGTTCAGGAATGGCTGCTACATTGGAAATCTTAACATCCGTATGAAGATTTTAATCGCGAATTTCTCAGTTACAATATATGTTCGCAGAGAACGCTTATTAGTTCCATGATGTGTGCGTCAAAACGAATTGATTTGCGTCACTTCGCGTCCGTCACTTTGCTAGGAATACATGTATATGATCTAAGATGAGGTATCAAGATCACAAAATAAAAAACAAAAAGATGAAAAAATATATATCAATAATAAACTCGCTCGAATTTCAAGCTTTATAGTTTTATTTTGTTTCTCTGGCCAGAGATATGTATCTAGAAAGGTTAAAATGAAATTCATTGTACTTTCTATAAATTTACAGTGATGTAGTTGTAAAATAAAAATTATTTCTGTTTCCACATATAAAAAAAGACGGGTAAATTGATAGAATAAAAATTTCCACAAAAGCATAAAATTGAAAAATAACATAAAAGCATTACTGTTATAGGTGAAACGTATACGATGTGTGGTCGAATACCCAAGACATGTCATCCGGAACAATGTTCTAGAATGGGGATACCAACTTCGTCAGAAATTCGTGATTGTTTAGGTCCGTCTTTGGCACAAGTCTTTTTTCAATATAGTCACGATGACACGAAAAAATTGTTGGACTTAATAGCCCCGGAAAAGTCGCCGCCACCCTGCTTTACTATTCAAATTAGTGACAATAAATTAGTGTCGCTTGCGCATAACGAAACTGTCAAAGCAAATGTGCACGAAAACATACTAGGTAAATTTTACCTGGTAAAATATTTTAAAAAATTAATGCCGAATTCAGGAAATTTTTCTCCGTTTATAATACAAAAGCAATTCATTAGAAATCGGCGAGACCCTCTTGGAACGTTTCCGTAAACAAATCGAAAATGAGTTACGTGATAAAATAGAAAAACAGTCGCAAGAGAAGTTTTATATGTATCAAGCAAAGAAACGCCGGGAGGCTGAGATAAAGTCGCAAGAGTTGCATGCAAAATATGAAAACTATTTTAAAACAGTGCAAAATGAAATTCAGAAACAGATTGAAGTAATCCACATTATAATTTATACAGTTCCTTTATCGTGTAAAATACGATCAGTTAACGTAAACAATAGTCGTATGGTTAGGTCAGAGTTAGTATATTAGTATAGAGTTATAGCATGAACTAATGAAATATATATATATATTTCATTAGTTCATTTTACAATAATTCTTGGCGCTTAAAAGGTTCAATAAGATTGAATGTATCATATATATTTCAATTAGAGACTCCATTCTTTCACCAGGTCTAGTAAATCTAGTGAGTGCTAGAGTGTTTGTTTGTAGGATGGGTATGACGCAAAAGAGATGGGATTTCCCCGGTTCTTAAAGGAGATATGTTATATCTTCCTGTTGCGTGATTATATGAAAATGACGACGCAACGTGAAAATAAACGTGTACATACTTTCCTTTTCTAGATTGAATGGGCAAACGTCAGCACCCAATGGGTGATAAAAATGCAGAAAGCTGTCGTACAAGAGCGAATAAAAGTAACACAAGAGCTGATGCAGAATATGCGGACCGAGATGGCTTACGTGATACAGTCGTTGTATCGAGAATTCGAGGAATCGTTTCGCGCTGATAGAGAGAATATAATCGCTGATTTTAATGAAATTATGAGGTTCATAAATTAACATGCTCTCGTGTAGTTTCTGTAGAACTAACCTTTGAAATTTCGGATAGAACAACGTACGTGAAACTGGACAAAGAAAAGAGAGAGTTTGAGGAGAAAGTGGGTAGAGAGCTGCATGTACAGAAACACCAGCTTGAAATGCAAAATACTGTAGACGTAATCAACGTCCATTGTCTAGAACAGTTGCGATGCTGCCGAGAAAAACATATTATACATGAACACTTTGAGGTAAAAAGGCTTTTTCTTATCTCGGATAAAATGCAGCAAAAAGCAGATTTATAAATAAACTATATATCATTAAATTTAAAATTATGTATAAACAGAAGGAAATTGAAGGATTGCGCGGGTTGATTGCTCGCCTGAACGACGTCATAACAGCGATGAGAGAAGAGATAATTAATTGCCACTCGGAGAAGAAATCGTTGGAAGAACAATTTTGCGAAGTGGCTAGACAGTTTCAGAAGTTTATCAATTTCGTATTTTCTGCGGTGCCAGGACAAGCGCAGTATTTGCTACCGTTGGAAGTACAACGATTATCAGTACCAGATAAGGATGAAAACGAAGAAACATGTGAACAAAATTTGTAAACGTACTTACTTGCGCCGTTTCTATGTAAAATGAATGACACGCTCTGTTAAGAATTTTATTAAGTAAATATAAACCGACGGTTTCTCTAAAGAAATGTCAGGTTAGAAATAATATAGAAATAATATAAGTAAATAAGATCTGCAACCATTCGTCTGATAGTTTATTAGGGTGAGAAATACACCATTAAAAAAAAACTGACATTACTTATCGTTCGGTATAATACGAATCTAAATGATAATAAATGCATGATGCAATACTGAAAATTAAATCATCCATTGTGAAGCAATAATAGTACAATATATTTGTCATTATCTCGTGATATCTATACTTGAACACACAAAAAGTCTTTCAAAACGTTCAATGAACGTGCCGGATGGATTTAAAATAATCCGTGATATGTTTATAAAAATGCGAAATGTTTACAAAGATAACTACGGCGTACAAGTGCTTACATTAATCCCACCTTTAGATGTTGCAATTTCATTCGTGTCTTTTCTATGAAATTCTATATACTACGTGGAGATGATTCAATTAATCGTGTTACGATAAGTTCTATTGCACACGCAATGTTTCATTGATAATTATCAAATATGTCATATAAATAATGAATGAACAATACCAGAACTGAGACATTGCATGTACAACAAATAATTTTTCTCGGAAATAACTTTAATTAAGTTTATCTTTTTTCAACGTTTGATGTAATCAATTAGCACGTTTAGATGTCTTCTTCATTTTAATAATTATTTAAACATACTTTCGTATGCACGTTATACTGTTAAAGTGTAGTATCATGTTCAGGAGAATCCGAAGAACAATTTTATAGATATAAAAAACAACTGCACTCATTGCTTCGAGAAAATTTAGTTAATTAAATATTTAGTACTGTAATGAATTCACGTAGACAATAAACTCGCTACAATTTTTGGCGTACTGTAAAATATTAGCTATGAGTTGCATTTCGTTGGCGTGCGTAAACATGGCCGGTACCATTCCGGATCCTTCCGAAGACTCGACATTTTCGCATGATAAAATTCCCGTATCATGACATTAGTGTGTCCAACTTTGCTTCGTGGAACAGGTGGATAATCCGAGAGTCGCCATCCGTATAACCAATTTGTGCAATCCGGATAATAAAAACGCTCTTCTGGCATATCTTTCAGTCTATCGTAATCAGTGAACACGTTCACATTAGAATTTGTAAATAATATTGCTTGACACGTTAGCTACCAAAAGGCTATTAATAAGCTTTTTAATGCCTGTGCTGTATCTAAAACAGCTTTATGATCTTCTTTTAAACATTAATCTCCAAATAGTTAAATAAACTGTACTGTTTCAGACAATTTGTAAGCTTAGCATAAAAATTCAGTGAAATTAAAGGAACTTATTTAATAAGACAATGTCAACGTGTTAAAGAAACTGTTATCGTCATCGAACAATTATTTAATATGTCACATTAACTAGCATAAATAAATAATCCTCATAGCTAGCTATAAGTTAAGCGTTAATGAAAGCCGAAAGAGTATGAGAAGCAGAACCTTTTGTTAAGATAATTTTCAGCAGTTATGAAGCTAGGTGCACCTTCGTACAGGGTGGCCCTGACTTGAGGATCAATTGGTTTCATAATGTTCATATCGACAGAGCCATCAGATTTGTCGGGTCTCCAATTTGGTAATGGCTTCAAATGTATCTAAAAATTGTAGAAGTCATCTAATTTTCAATAAGCGACAAATGCAACTTATTGAACTGCGGATTTTTCTGCTTTTGCAAGTCATCTAAATTTTTAAGAAATATGAAAATGTATGTATTCAACAAGAATGTGAATTTCAATGAAGTTCTACAATCTACTCGTTCCTGGATTGCAAATTGTATTAGATTTGCACAAAGTATAAATCTCTATGAAATATTAATAAACCACGATAACTGCGCGTGAATCGTTGAATAATAGGCATACAATTTCTAGTTTTCATAAAAATCCTCAGTACAATATGTATTCATCCGTTGCAGTGCTTAGCATAATTAATCGTATGTACAGTGCTCGATTGTTTTTCTGGCTCAGGCGTGGATAATTCAACTGCTTTTACAGGTTCGGTAATCTTCAACCGATCCAATAACTTCTGTTGATTTTTTAAAAACCATCTGATACGTCCAGCCTCCTCTCTCTGTATCATCGCAACGTGAAACGCCTGACAACGAGCATCGCAAATACCTTTATTCGCCATATCGTGATTTTGTTACGCACCATCGACGATGACTACTAATTTATTGTAAAAGTCACATTTAGAATAAAATTTTGTATTGCTCTGAAGTGAAATCCCCAACTATTGCATCGTTTTGGTGTTCGTGTCATCTTTGAAAACGTAAATTTTCGTAGCAGACAAGAGAAATATTGTTATGTTATTTACATATTTCAGCGAATCATTTTATTTACATTGTTATTACATATAATACATATTATCGTATGCCGAAAAATTATTTTTACGGTGTGCTATCACACATATTAACTTAAAAGATAATAATTCCAGTGGGAGCATCGTTTCATACAAAAGCCGATGGGAAAGGAAATCAATTGGTTTTGAATCTCTCTCTTGAACAGATGATATGTTTATAATCAAACTAGTAATAATAAAAATTGTCGACTGGTATTATTATTTTTCTTTTTATTACAAATGAAATGAGTATTTATTTGAACATTAAAAAGAAGTTTAAGGTATATAGAAATTTTGCGCGACAATCAAATTATAGAAGAAAAATGATCGTAAACACAAGGTATACGTTCGCTAAACACCGGTTGCAACCGCTTAAATACATTCGGTCAATTGCCCGACCATACACGCGTTTTATACATACAACATGCATATGTATACTTGTGTGTATACCTGAAGGTAACGATACTAGATTGTAACATAAGTAAGGTCGACGCGTAAGCTCGACGTGCTCGAATTTTTTAAGAGTTTAGTTACTTGTGCAAATACACGTAACTGTAATTAACAAAAAAAACACTTAAAATCACAGATTACAAAATTATTGTGTCTGATGTAATACTTCATTAATAAATGAAAACAGTACTGAATCTAACGAACTTATTTGTGTTAAAATTTCATTGAAATGTGATAAAACCAACGGAAAATGATAAATTTTCTAGAATGTACAAAGAAGCCCCCTTTAAATCAATTTTCTTTTTACACAGATTCTAAGAATACTTCAGATAACACTGGCAACGTTTCTGAACTCAAAGATCTCGGTTTTGTTTGTTTATGATTCTGTTGTTGGGTTTACCACCTCATCTCGTTACCGACAAGTGTACAAAGCGATATAACGTCGTATTATCTCAATGTCATCATTAATGATAAGATTTTTAAAAAAGATTGAATTTTTGCGGCGTACAAATAATCTTTATGTTTCCATTCTTTTTTTCTCTTCACAAAATAGTATGTATATTATCGTGGCATAGTTCTATAAAAAAATATTTCTAAAAAATGTATTCTCCTGCGTACAATTTCGTGTTCGTTCGACGTGTACAAGGATCATTGACATGTTAAGCAGCATCAAATAATGATTTATTCGGTAACGATGAGCAGTATTACGGTTCCGTAATAATAAATAAATATGGCGTGAAGTATGAGTTCTCACATGACATTACTCCCTCTTAAAGTCAACATCAAATGACCCAGTAATCACAGCCATAGGAAGCAATATTGTTCTACCATCTTAATGTTTAGATGCAATGTCGATTATATTACAAACTGACTAAGGAGCAATTCTTAATTTGTACTTGGGTAATCAAGACGAATTGTACATATCGTACTGTATCATTGCAGTTTTCCTTTTCTAGTCTGTTCGATCGTTCGTTCGTTCTGTACATACATGTGTAATATTAACTTATCTACACTACACTACAAAATAATTACACCATCCGCGATTGGTCTAGATAGTTATTATAGTTATTAAATCTAAACTTCTTAATCTAGAGTCCAAGGTCAGTATTTTATTTCAATAAACTTATGTTTTCGCCTAATCTTAGATTGTGCATTATACTTCATATAAATACGGAATACTAAAATGTCATATGTCGGTTCGCAACATACGAAATTTTTCATGGTGAAATCCTAAGTCAGCGCTTGCCCATCAATTATGTTGACCTCCTGTTATATACATTTTTTTTCTACAATTTCATCTATGCAATCCACTGTTTTGCTGTTAACTTAAGTTTATTGTACAATATTAAATATACAAGTAAATTCTCTTCAAGTAGAGCTTGTGTTTAAAAAAATGCTTCGGTATTATTTGCTCTATCTGTAACTCGTTCAATAGAATTTTGCTGCAGTGAAGTGAATTATCTTCGATAACCTTCTCTTTGTACAGAATACATGAATACTTCCACAATTTCAAATTTAGTTTAACACATTCCAAGGAACAATTACAAATGTTTCAAATTTTTCCATAGACTAACTGATTCGCGAATTTTCATTATAAATTCTTGCAGACATGCTAATATATACACAATCGTTTCATAAATAAATTGAACGAAGTTATTCAATTCAACAGAACTTTTAATCATGTACTGTGCCCACAAAACAATGATATTTCATTTAATTTTCGTGACAAATCTTTTAAAGGGAAAGATATTCATTTTTCAAAAAATTCCATTTTCCTTTTGAAATAATAACTATTTAGCAAAAACAAAAATTTTACGTCATCTAATAAAACAGAATACTTGTTAAATACAATTTTTTGCTTAAATTATCTTCAATTTATAGTTTGTTTTATGATTCATATTGTGTCGGTACTTCGTATATGTGCAACCACATACTAAGAAATAACTTAAAAAATTTTCCGTTAAATCCTCGATACCAATGGGCCTGCGTCCTGCGCTTGGCTCAGGCATGAATTTTCTCTACCGTGTTATGAATTATTATACACATGTAGTAATACAACAATAACAGATAAATTAACAAAATATCACTTATCTTCGATAAACTCTCGCCATACGAAAAACGGACGCTTATTTTTTTTTATCAAACAGTGTTCCAGCGTGAATATTAAGCAATTTAGAAATACCTAACTGGTAGACACATCAAGTAATACCGAGCTTGGGGCTGTTTTATTAAGATAAACGCTCACATCTTTCAAGCGACTAGACCTAGAAGAACCAGCTTGACTCTGATTTGCACCACTTAAATCGTTATCAGCTTCTGGTCCACAAAATTCATCACCTTGTTTTTTATGTAGGATATATTTGAAAAATTCATATCTAAAAAAATGGTTAGTATGGATAATGGTATTCGATTTGCAATTCAGTCTAATATGTTATGATTACTGAAATTAACTTTTTAAAAAGATTTCAGAAATTTAAAAACTTTAATTATTAGTTTAAGCACTATTTATTATTGGTATGTGGTATAAATACTTACGTTGACCAACAAATAGTGGTTGCTGGAATTTGATACAGAATACGAGCATATAAACCACGGAAGTAACCACTTACACCTCCATAGGCATAAACCTTCTTAAAAGCATCTATCATACCATGAGCATGTACGCCATTCTGTGTATTTAAAAGTGTCTTACAAACATCTAAAGGGGTCGTGACTGCAGCAGCAATAGCTCCTGCTAATGCACCTACAATTTGTACAATTTTAATAAACATATGTTTACTAGAATATATCTTATAAACTGATAAGATTCTTAAAATCAACGAATATGCTACTATTTTTAATGGGAACTTCTACATACCAGATTTCATATGTGCTATAGGATTGTATACATGTTCTGGATTCGTAAAATTTTGTGCTACTTCGTAAGTCATAAAGTGGATCATTTGGAAAGGTACATTCATGGCCAACTGAGTTGTGTAACTCCTGTAGAATGCCTTTAAACCTTCTGTTTCATATATACTTTTTATACATGCTATGACATTTCGATATGGAGAGTTATACATTTGTAATCGTTGTTTGACCACTGAAATAAGATAATGTAACGAATTATAAATAAATATATTTAAAAGAGATATTATAAAGTTTGTAAAAAATATATTTTACCTTCTGCTGGATTCATTACACCATCATGAAGGAGCGTTGCAACACAGCCAGCAGTTCCATAGGCAATCAAATTAAAGTCAGAGTGTGCCCTTGAAGCTAGTATCCTATTTTTTATGAACTCATAACATGAAAAATATAAGGCATGTGCTGGACCAGCCCCCACAACCATTGCACTCATACCACGAATTGGTCTTAGAACGCCCTCTTGTTGTACCATTCTAAAGAAAACTTCACTTATCCCTCCTCCCCCTCCTAGACCTGGAGTCAATGCCTGCATTCTCGTCTAAATATAGTCAGAAAATTAAATATAAGTGAATCACACAAATAAGACATTTACTTAGTAAAACTATTTTTTTTACATAATTTATAAATACATAGTATAGTCTTTTAGAAATAATTATAACGCTGCAATTAATAAATTGATAGTAAAAATAAATATTATTTCCAATTCTCTGTTTTCATTGACTGTAACTTTCAATTATTGATAATAACAAGGATATATCATGATATTTATCAATCAAGATTAACAATTATCAATTAAGAATATTTACAAGGATTTAAGCAGATGTTAATTACTTTGAATCGAATATCTTGAATAGAATGCAGAGCAAGTGAATAAACTTTAAAAATTTCAAACTTGTGACATTCTGCTTGCATGACACAACAAATTTTCATTCCAACTATAAATCATTGTACATATAAAATAAATAATGGATAGAAATTACGAATTGAAAAAGAAATATCACAGACTATAATAGAAGCAAGTGACATGTTATATAATGAATATTTAAAACTCGGGTACTGTTTAAGATATGTGTCCTGTCTCTTATACACATCTAGATGTGTATAAGAGACAGGACACATATCTTAAACAGTACCCGAGTTTTAAATATTCATTATATAACATGTCACTTGCTTCTATTATAGTCTGTGATCTGTCTCTTATACACATCTAGATGTGTATAAGAGACAGGACACATATCTTAAACAGTACCCGAGTTTTAAATATTCATTATATAACATGTCACTTGCTTCTATTATAGTCTGTGATCTGTCTCTTATACACATCTAGATGTGTATAAGAGACAGGACACATATCTTAAACAGTACCCGAGTTTTAAATATTCATTATATAACATGTCACTTGCTTCTATTATAGTCTGTGATCTGTCTCTTATACACATCTAGATGTGTATAAGAGACAGGACACATATCTTAAACAGTACCCGAGTTTTAAATATTCATTATATAACATGTCACTTGCTTCTATTATAGTCTGTGATCTGTCTCTTATACACATCTAGATGTGTATAAGAGACAGGACACATATCTTAAACAGTACCCGAGTTTTAAATATTCATTATATAACATGTCACTTGCTTCTATTATAGTCTGTGATCTGTCTCTTATACACATCTAGATGTGTATAAGAGACAGGACACATATCTTAAACAGTACCCGAGTTTTAAATATTCATTATATAACATGTCACTTGCTTCTATTATAGTCTGTGATCTGTCTCTTATACACATCTAGATGTGTATAAGAGACAGGACACATATCTTAAACAGTACCCGAGTTTTAAATATTCATTATATAACATGTCACTTGCTTCTATTATAGTCTGTGATCTGTCTCTTATACACATCTAGATGTGTATAAGAGACAGCTCCAATGTTTTGAAACAAATTTATTCACACTTATGTCTGTCTCTTATACACATCTAGATGTGTATAAGAGACAGATCACAGACTATAATAGAAGCAAGTGACATGTTATATAATGAATATTTAAAACTCGGGTACTGTTTAAGATATGTGTCTATTAATGATGTTACACGTGTAAAGAATTGAGCAAAAGGTGTCAGAGGCTGAAGCTAACTTTAATGTTATTTATGTGTAATGAACATGTTTATTTACCCATGAGCATTTATACTACATATATATTACAACATGACATAACATACAAATTAGACACCTCATTTGCATAATAACAAAGCTAATACCACAAAAATTAAATGCATAATGATTTTCATTCAAGAATTAAGTGTTTTCAAGTAAAATTAATTTTGAATAACTTTTTTTTCCTTACTGTGCATTAGTACAATTTATATACTGAAAACAATAACATTTTATCTGATATTTTAATATATAATTAATGAAAATGTTATGACTATTGCTAAATTTCCTGTTGACTAAGTCTGCTCGTCCATATTAACCTAGCAGTACCTAGAAATAATTATGAAATAATTTTGCTTGAATTGATTACACAATAGCGTTTCCAACCGTAACATGAAACGGGGAAAATATCTATGCAATCGTGAAGCAACTGCAACTTCACTGTCTGACAGTGATTAACGGCAGTTATCTTGAAAATGTAAACGCCTCACTATTTATTTAAGATTTCGATCACGATTGTGTCGGGCACTTGTAATGTCACGTCGCTGGATGTCATTAAATTTTATTGAAATTGAAGGACAATCTCATAACATGTAGCAATAGTTGAGGTTATGTAAAGTATCTTAGAAGAAATTCGCAAGAAATAAATATATTACCTTGACACTATCAAGGGGGTACATCACACAATGTTCCATTATTCCAGCAAACGCACCTGCTGTCATATGCACGGCCATGGAGGATGTCGGCAGGCTCTCGTATATTTCCGCATTCATATTTTTGAAGAGGCGTCAGCGCGAATTCCAGTTTATAACTTTAAAATGCCACAGTCGTTATGCAATCTGTCGAAGCGGTTAACACGCTTTCGGTAGCAACCGATGCCAAGTTGCTTTCGATTTGACGATATTTACTTTGTAATCATCGAAATGTTGCACATTCGAATGGAGTCAAGGAAAATGTTCGTTCGTTCAGAGTGACGAGACGTAATCGTACAGGTTGATTGCTGAATGGAACCTTATTGGAATTGAAAAGGCTCCTACCTCCGATAGGCAAATTCGCTTCGCCCAATTCGCTTCACGTTCTCTCAGAGCAAAGAAATTTTTGTTATACCTGGCCAGTCGGTTATTACGCTTAAAAGTGCACTGATGCCCGGCATTTACGCTCGACCGTTTGTTCAACTAGGTTCAGAACTTAATGCACGTTGTCATTCTTCGTGATATGACTGTGAATCGCCACAAGTTGATTCGGAGCGAAGAGGTTAGCCGTATGCGCACGTGCCGCGCATGCGTCGTAGCCAACCACGTGGTTCGTGCGTGGAGTGCATATGCATGAATGTATGCATGTATATTACATACATATGTACATAGTAAGCTTAATAAATTGTAGTCTATCTGATTACTGTGCATTTATCAGTTGCATAGTAACGGATTTATTTATACAGTTTTCGAGATAAAGTAAATGCATTGTTGTATTTGTATGATTTACCACTTGAAAATAGGTTTTTGCTTCGTTCAAAATGATTGACTGTAACGTTATATGTATTACGATTTTTGGGTGTGATGAACAATGCATCATTCAGTTACAATTCTGTGACGAAGTTCGTTGCAAGTTCTAAGATGTTATTCTAAACCGTAGTAATAAGTTGTAATAGTTTGATTGAAAGAAGAATATGTTCAATCGTGTCATATAGCCATAGTATTGATATGATAAAATATATTATTAGATTAGATTAAGTAATATTTAATACTTAATAAAAAAAAAGTATTCTATCATACGTGTTAAATTTTTAATACAATTTGCATTTTATGTACTCCAATGTTTTGAAACAAATTTATTCACACTTATGTTGTATA